GGGGGGGGGGGGGTGAAGCTCGTAGCCTTTGTAGAGTCCCACCTGCTTAGCCTCCCATTTGCTTCCTGACTGCCTGCAAACCACTGATGGCCCCGCCTGACCAGATGTCAGTATACACAATCTGACCGTGCTGTCCTGTGTATCTAGTTATCCTAGTTGTCCAAATCTGTGACCTAGTTGTTCAAATCTTCAGTTTTAAAATGAGAAAATTAAAGCTCAAGGGCTTTAAATGGCTTGACCAAAATTCCAAACTGGTTGCAAGAATGTAGACTAGGGTGCAAGTTATCTGAACTCCAGGTCAGTGTTTGCTCCACTCTATTAATTCGATTTCAACAATTCAAACTGCAAATATGTGAAATGTATGATAGTTGCATTTCATCTGCCATCCAAAGTTCAGCAGACCGGTCTGAAAAAAATCAGGACTTTGGAAAACATGGTACTTTGTAGTTGTAAGTGCTCATGTCGCAAGTGCCACTGCCAGCCTTGTCCAGAACTTTATTTCTAGCTCACAAATTATAATCAGTCAATTTATTTTTTTGTGTGTGTCTTGATGATAGTTGGATGAATAAGTTTTAATATAATATTCATAAATACATTATTTCCAATTTAAAAAGGAAACTAAGTTTACATAGGGGCAAGTTTAGATGTCCACGTTGCTGGGAAGCTCTGGAGGCTGTCCCCATAGAATTAAGAACATGCCCCATATTGATAAGGATTCCATCTCCTGTTGCATTTGAAATGAGTAACTTATGTGGAAAAAACTGTATTTAATAAGGGAATTTAAATAACATTTTAACAAGAACAGGTTCAGAAGCATCATAAATTGTAGATGCTTAAAAAAACAAATACTGAGGGGTCAAGTACTGCATCTCGTATTAAATATATACCCAGGAGAGACAAAGGCACTGTCTATAGGTAACAGGGTTCCTACCCTAGAAGGGCTGCACAAGTCATATTTGTTAGAATGGCAAGGAACCATTGGTACAATGGGAGAAAACTCATTGGTCGAAAGCTCTTATGACTCAGGATCTTGAAGACCAGGGTTGGCAGCAAAAATAGAAAATATGTTCTTCATCTGGCAAGAATATGCTGCATATATCTGAAATCACTGGCTGGATGAAGTGGGGGGAAAAAACTGTCCAGATTTAGACAGACAAATGGGAGGCGGACAAGGTACAGCAATCTTCTCTCTAAGTTTTCCTTTGCATGTTACATTATGGCAGCAATATTCATCTTGCCAAACACATTACATGTGACAGGCAAAAATTATATGATTTTGCTTTAAATCTCCTGAGAATGTGATTTTTATTTAAAATTCTTCTTCCTCACCCGGCCGGTATGCCTCAATGGTTGAACGTAGTCCCACGCACCAACAGGTTGATGGTTCGATTCCTGGTCAGGGGACATGCCTGGATTGCAGGCTCAGTCCCCAGTAGCAGGCTTGCAGGAGGCAGCCAATCAATGTTTCTTGCTCATTGATGTTTTTATCTCCCTTTACCTCTCCCCTCCTCTCTAAAATCAATAAAAACATCAAAAAACAAAAACTCTTCTTTCTCACCACAATTTTCCTTACATATATATGTCTGAGAGAAGTGTCCCATCTAAAAGTTAAATTGCAAGTAATTTGCAATCCATTTGCCTTAACTTCAAGCTGTGGTGTCTACAACTTTTCTTACAGTGGTTTATAGATGAGTCACATTTAAAGTTAAAAAACTAAAATGTAAATCAGTAGTTATGAACAGTATAAGCTAATCAATAGTTTTTACTATTAGAACTCCTAAGCCCTTTCTCTTCTAAGTAAATAGACTAGTAGAGTTTTTCCCTTATTTTTAAAAAAATTATTGTCGAGAGCATTACAGATGCTCCCCATTTTGGTTATATACATACCATAACTGGTTGTTAACTCCCTGAAGCATTCATTTGTACATATTTATAAATGTTAATTATTTTCTCAATATACTATGGAAAACATTGTTCATTCATATTAACCTTTGACTTTTCATTATCTTGGCTTAAAGTATTTTGCAATTTGTAAATACACACTCACAGTGTGTATTTCAGTTCAGCTCAGTTCAAGAAAAGCAAGAGTAATTCATAAAAACAAAATAGAAATATGTTTTCAAAATCATAGATTATTACATATAGTTATTGGAGACATCACATTATACATATACTCTATAGCAGTGGTTTTCAAACATTTGGGTCTCAGGATACCTTTATGCTCCTCAAAATTACTAAGAACTCAAAATAAAAATTATGTGGCTTATATCTATCAATATTTACTCAATTAAAACTGAGAAAGTTTAAAAATATTAATTACTTTATAAAAAATAAATTTCATGTTAACAGAAACTATATTTTTATAAAAAATAACTGCATTTACAAAAATAATAGCGAGAACAACAGTACTGTTTTATATTTTAGCAAATCTCTTTAAAACCTGTGTAAAAAGACAGATTCTTTTACTGACCTGCATTCAGTCAATTGCAATATCACATGACATGTGGCCCCTAGAAAATCCCACTTATACTTGTGAGAGAATGAGAATAAAAAGGTAATTAAGTTGTTATTATTATTATGAAAATAGTTTAGACCTCCCTGTAAGGGTACTGCGAAGCCCCAGCGTTCTCTAAAGCACACTTTAAAAACTGCTACATTATAGAGCTATTTGTAACTGCTCTTCTTTCTGACATTATAAACTTACATGTCTCCATGCCTTCATCATCATCATCTACTGTGGGTTTATCATAAGACTTGTCAATGGCAGCTCTGAAGCTCTCATTGCATCCCCTTCCTCTGATTATCCGTGGCCGTGGGCGATGGAAAGGAATATCCCCATTCAAAGTCACCTCAGCAACTGCCGTCTGCAGACTTTCTAATGAGCTCGACTTCTTCAGACCCAGGGAAGGCCCCACATCTCTGCTGGGGGAACCTTGGAGGGTTATAAAAACAGAATGTTAGCTAGAATTAGTGGTGGAATTTGTATTCCTGAACATTCACAAATTATGGAAAAAAATCAAGGACATAAACAAACAGATGAAAGGGTATAAAATAATAAATAGCTAGTTTTTATTTTCCCCAAATATATATTAAATTTTTTCTATTTTCTTTATTTTCATGAGAAAAAACTTTAAGCTTTAAGTTATTAGTTTCCATTTTCAGCCCAACAGATGAAATTTTTGTGAAATCATTTGCTCCAAATTATGTAAATAATCTAAAAGAACCAGAATAAGCCAAAGGCTCACTTGTAGAGCACGATGAAAGGCTAAGGTGAGCAACCAAGAGTAAGCTTTGTAACTTGCTGAAATCAGTTTCTAACAGTTCAAAATTATTTTTAACAAAAGTTAAACACTCATATCAATGAGCTTCATCAAGTATAGTGCAGATTCACACAACTCCTAAGTAAAGGTAGCACAAAAGATTTCATGTCACTGATACCATTAAGGGCACCCTGACACCAGGCAGAAACCTAATTCTGGACAATATTAACATTCTATGGAAAGAGCAACAGAAGGTTTGAACAGAAACAAATTACATAAGGGCTCTCCCTAGAAAGAGGTAAAGGAGGAAAGGCTAAAGAGCTGACATGAGGACTCTGACCTCCAGGCCTGGGAATAACTGTTTGAGAAACAAGTGATAAATAGAAGGAAGACGACTTAACAGTTACCAAAAATATTTTCGATAAGACAGCAGGGAAGAGCTCAGGGAATTCAGAATTTGCCCCTATTTCTTGAGGATCTAGGGCAGAAAGGCCTGAGATAATACCAAAAGCACCAACCTTTAGAAGGCAATCAAAACAAATTTTTTTAACTAGGTAAGACAGTATCATCCGTCACTGCCCGACCTGGGACTCAAAAGTATGTAAATTTAGCCTCTAGATGACTGAAATAGCAGCTTTGTACTCCCACCTGGGCAACCCAAGTTACAGAACCAGTTCTTCAGTTACACTGTTAAAAAGACACATGCAAAAAAAGTGGGAGGGTAGGAGACTATTTCATTTCTACATGGGTCATCAGCCCATATACTGATCAATAGTTCAGGAATAGCCTTGGTATGGTATGACCTAAAAAACACATGGTTATGACATGGGCTTTCCATGGCTCAGAGTGTAAAACAGAATAAAAATTAAATTCAGAGAGTCAAACCAGAATTATCTCTTAAAGATTCATTTACATTACATCTTTCACCTAATATTTACAATAAAATAACAGTTTTAAGTTAGAATAAATATGTCAAAAATGTAACATAGGCAGACAGATAATTCCAATGAAGAAATAATATTCCATAAATTATTGTGCTTGGGAGAAAAAGATGGTTTATTTAACTTTCTCAATGCAGGTTTGCATATATAAAGACTATGACAAAAATTCACGTAAACTATTTCTTTCCAGGATGATCAATATTAGTTTTTCTCTTGATAGCACTAGTATAACTTTTCATAAGTTCATGTTCTAAATACCCATAAAGTCATGTCACAGGAAGGAACCCAAGTGAATGGGAAAAGATCATTCCTGGGCAGAGACATCTACCTTTATATGTCCTAGAATTAGCATTGGGAAGGTCTTTTTCTGAATAAATCATACCTATCAATTTTGATAACTTGCCAGCTGCATTTGGGTTCTATAAACATAAATAAAGCAAATATCTGGTGATTTCTTGGATTCATAAAGGACATGTGTATGCATACAGGGGGAGGTAAACGTAGGTTTACAATTGTCATGCAGGTTATGATTATTACAGTAGCTTTTTTTAAATATATTGTTGATAGTATTACAGATGACCCCCACTTTGCACCCCTTCACCCTTCTCCACCCAGCCCCTACCCCATCACAGGCCTTCCCCACACTACTGTCAGTGTCCATAGGTTATGCATAATAACCTATGCCAAAGGTTAACCAAATATACATAATTTGGTTAATCTCTTCTAGTTTCCAAATATACATAATTTGGTTAATAACCTATGCCATAGGTTAACCAAATATACATAATTTGGTTAATCTCTTCTAGTTTCCCCACCCCTCTCCCCTTTGAGACCTGTCAATCTTTCCATGCATCCATGCCTCTGGACCTATTTTGATCATCTGTTTATTTTGTTCATTAGATTCCACATATAAGTGAGAGCATGTGATATTTGTCTTTCTCAGTAGCTTTATTAACTCAACAAGAATAAACTCTGGACTGGCTGGCCTGGCTCAGTGGTTGAGCATCGACCTATGAACCGGGAGGTCATGGTTTGATTCCCAGTCAGGGCATATGTCCCACTTGGGGGCTCGATCCCCAGCAGGGGATGTGCAGGAGGCAGCCGATCAATGACTCTCATCCTTGATGTTTCTATCTCTCTCTTCCTCTCCCTCCTCTCCCTGAAATCAATAAAAACATATTTTTAAAAAAAAGAATAAACTTTCGCATACTCACAACTATAAACCTACTTTTGCCCATCCCTATATATGTATGTATGTATATTTATTCTGTCTGTCTGCCTATCTTTCTCTCTATCTGCAATAAAGATTTCATGCTTCCAGCAGAGATTATCATAAAAACATAATCTATGTATATAAGCTTCTCTTTATGAAAAGTTAGCTGAAATTTGACTTTATGTACTCAGAGCACTAAAACTTTAATAATGAATTTTAGAAATGGCATACATTTATTAAAACAAATGCATACAATTTACGTGTATATAAATATTTATATGTACATATAAGTGCGTATGTGTATATAAATATATGTATTTATTAAAAGACATAAACACAGCCCTGGCAGCTGTGGCTCAGTGGTTAGAGTGTTGGCCAAGCACAGAAAGGCTGTGGGTTCGATTACCATCAAGGGCACGTACCTGGGTTGCACGTTCATTCCCTGGCCCCCCAGCGGGGCCATGGAGGAGGCAACCAATCAATGTGTCTCTCTCACATTGATGTCTGTCTGTCTGTCTGTCTCCCTCCTTCCCTCCCTTCCATTCTCTAAAAAAATCAATGGAAGAAATATCCTTGGGTGAGGATTAACAAAGAAAAAATTTTTTAAATCTGGGAAGAAAAAGAAAGTATAATTTAACAAGCAACAGATATTTTGTAAGTGTAATTCAAAGGTTACACTGTAGAATAACATTTTGGCAAATGTTGATAATTATCAATGGTGGGTATGGGATATATGAGAGGTCAATGAACTACTGTCTCTATATTTATATACGGTTGAAAATTTTCACAATAAAATGTTAAAAAAAAACACACACCTATAATTTGCGAATCTATAAGAGGGATCGGCGAACCTTGGGCCAAATCTGGAAAAAAATTTTGGAACACAACCATGCCTCTTTGTTTACATATATTCCGTGGCTGCTTTCACGCCGCATCAGAATTAAGTAATTGCTACAGAGACTGGTCTGCCAGGCGTAAGTAAATATTTACTATCTGGTCCTTTACAGAAAGAGCTTATTGATTTTCTTGATCTGTAAAATGGATATCATTCACTTAAGTATTATATTTGTCAAAGAAACTTTAACAAAGGTTTAATGCTTAGATTCCTGAATGAGTGTTACTGAGATTGCTAATATTAAAAACTCAGCATTTACAAGTAAGGAAAATTGAGAATTTGTTTGTCTATTAAAACATGGGCAAAGGATTAGTTGTATCTACATACACACACACACACACATACACAAAAACAACTATCTTTTAATTTTAAAGCTCTTTATATAAATCTTTTAGGCCATTAGGATACTTTGTTTATTTTTTATATTCAAGGATTAAACTGTTAGAAACCCAATTCTCTTTTAATTTTAAAGCTCTTTATATAAATCTTTTAGGCCATTAGGATACTTTGTTTATTTTTTATATTCAAGGATTAAACTGTTAGAAACCCAATTCTCTTTTAATTTTAAAGCTCTTTATATAAATCTTTTAGGCCATTAGGATACTTTGTTTATTTTTTATATTCAAGGATTAAACTGTTAGAAACCCAATTCTCTTTTAATTTTAAAGCTCTTTATATAAATCTTTTAGGCCATTAGGATACTTTGTTTATTTTTTATATTCAAGGATTAAACTGTTAGAAACCCAACTATCTTTTAATTTTAAAGCTCTTTATATAAATCTTTTAGGCCATTAGGATACTTTGTTTATTTTTTATATTCAAGGATTAAACTGTTAGAAACCCAATTCTCTTCTTATTCCTTTTGTCTCTTCTTTCAGAAAGTAAACTTACCTCTGAAAATCACAAAAGACCCCTAAATCTAGGAATTAAATGAAAATCACAATCATACTACTTTCCCTAGGTCTAGTTTTCTATTCCTACCCCTCTTACTGAAAAAAAAAAAAAAAAAAGTAGAGGATGTTTTTTGCAAGGGCAAAGGGAAATAGAATTCAATTTTCATTATAAAAGGTGTATGGCTAGACAGACAATCTATGCTAAACTGCCACTATGACTCTACCAAAAAACTCTGAACTAAACTATAAAATCATGATAATCTTAATTCAAGTGAGGTGAAGAAACAAAAATAACTGAAAATTTGGCATCTATTTAGTAATTTCCCCCCCAAGTTATTCCAATTTAATTTAGTAGAATGGGCTGTACATAGTGCAAAAAAAAGATGCTCTTTATATCTAGGAAGTTAAAACACTACGAACACATGATTCAATTAAGATTATAAAATTCCCCTTCTCACCATGAAAGTCATTTAATGTTTTCAGTTAAAAATCTGGATATGTCATTTTTCAATCACAATGAATTGTTCTTTTCTTTTTTAGTAGTAATGAGTTGGTTAAATTAAGTATTTTCCTTATTTTACATAATAGGCATAGTATATAAATTCATTGAACCTCAACAGTTCAATTTGGTTTTTATGAAAATTAATTTGGATAAAAGTTAATTCCTAAAAGTACTGCATACTAGTAACTCCAAAAACTAATCACTAATTTACATATACAAACTATCAAAAAGTTTTTCTTTAGCCCTATTTCAAAATTTCAATGACTCTTATGTTTGATAAGAGAAATAACTACTTAATAAGGGCAGAGGCTATAGTTAATTGCCTTGTACTACAGCGAATCCTGTGATTTATTGGATGTAATTTTACAATCTATCTTTTACTCTACAGAATGTGAAAAGTCCAACCATGTTCACAATAATCTTTACATATATATATGGGATACATATTTTCAAGCAGGATAAAACCAATTACTACTGTAGGTTAAAAAGGTGAATTAAGCTAATTAGTGGTAAGTGGTAGAAGAGCTACATTATACTGGACCTAGAATAATAAAAACACTTTTCTAAATTTATAATAATAAATCATGCTCAACTGTACAAAGCATATTGCTTTAATTGCAAATAAAAACTTTCCTTTGATTATTTTAATAAATAACATAAACAAAATATGCTATAATGCAAAATCCCAGTTCAACATAATCTATTATGGGATGACTGAGAAAGCATTTTGGAAGTCAGTCCTAAATAGTTAACAAAACAAAACAAACAAAAAAATACTTTTAAACAGGTTCACAAAGTTAAGATAAGGAGCCATATCAATTATATAGTCTCATTTCAATGTCAGGTAGCTACGAGCTAATTCCTGCATTAGAAACAGAAACAGGTTTCGGAGTGAACAATGACAGCAATGCCTGGATGCTGTCCTTCAGTGACAAATATTCACATCTGTGCTATTATTACCCTTCAAATCAAAGTCACCACTTTGAGAATCTTTCTTTGGAAGTTAACCTAGGCATCAAAGAAATAACCTAAAAACAAGAGTCTACCCAGGAGATCATGTTTTCAGGATTTTAATTTTTCTCAAGTTGTGACAAAACAATCCTACACAAATATAATTAAGAAAACCTAGGTTGTTTTAAGCATTTTTAAACCACTAAATTATATTTCCATTTAGATGTACTACACTGATAAATTTCTTCTAACAGAAACTTTTTCATCTTATACAATTTGATTTCCTACAATGAAAACATCTGTGCAAGACTGGAATAGTTATGTGTACACACAATATGATTGGCAGCTCTATAATTATGATAAGCTCCTTGGACCACAGTTTCTATGGCAACAGTTTAATGGTCCATTCTTACCTGCTTTCTGGTCATCCACTGTACTGAGTTTAGTCTCGTCAGCTACTGTTAAAAGGTAAATGTATAATGGTTAACCCAGTTAGTCCCACAGCCCAACATGCTTTAACCATTCCCAGATCTTTTTGGTTACGTGATAATTCTTAGGTAACATTTCATGCAAATAATATGGAACCTCAAGCAAATATTCATGATCAAAAGGGGGGGAAGCAGTGTCTCCATGCAATATGCCATTCATTTCATTTCACAGACACATGTTATTTGTATGTTAGCATACCATAATTAACCAAGGCAATGTATCTCCAAATTTTTTTACACATGAGATAAATTAATGGTTTTAGTCTTAAGGTACAAACAGCCACCAAGGAACAGTATAAATAAGCTATAGTTGATTAACAAAGGTTTAAAAAATCATTCAATCAGTATATAGATATGATTAATTATTTTACTTTTTTGTTTATTTGTTTTGGTGGATTAGGATTTAAAAAGAGACACTACCTGATTGGTATTTGTTTGAACAATTATGGTTATTTCCCTGTTCTCATTTGCTTCAAATACTTCCTACAATAAATAATCTCTCAAATTATTACTTCAATTAAATGCCTTAATTATCAACACATGAGAGTTCTATTATATAAACCTTAAAGAATAGCATGAAAAGGAAAATATGGAGTATCCAAATTCTAGACATGGATTGAGATAATGATTTTTCTCCAAAACTTTTTTCTTTTATTTCACAATGCCACAACCAAACAAATACTATTTCAATGAAATCAGTTTTAAACAGCCAGTGTCAAAACATTTCATTGTTTCAAATAAAGATACATGAATATAGCATGATATGTACACGTGTTTGTTTCTTTTCTCATCAGAAAACATATATATTAACATATTGCACATTATATAAACATGCCACTTATGAAAAATATGTTTATTTCAAACTCAGAGAAAAGCTAATTTTTGCCAAATGACCACATTTCACATTTATTTTCTCTACTGCTCAAAGTAAACAGACATGTGTTTGGGACCATCAATTTTAATCTGAAAGTATCCATTTAGATAAAGATTCATGGAGACTATACTCACTACCTAAATCCATGCTTTTTGATTTTCGTGTTTTAACGATATCCAATTGACTGGCATCTGAAAATTGCTTTGTGCGTTTTTCTGACATACTCTGGCGTCCAAATCCTTCTCGTTGAAAAGCAAGAACTGGATCAACATCTGGACTCAAAGAGCTAGTGTGAAAAAAAACACACACAAAATATTTACTAAAAATAGAAGACATTCAATTTAGGAAAGTTCATACATACCTATGTGTATGAATGTGTGTATATATATTCCTCAAAAATATTTACACTAAATTACACAAATATAATTCATTTTTTTAAAAAACTGTGGCTGTATAGGAAGTGATAGAAAAATACATTAATTTATGTTTAGTAATCCTTTCTCCTCTACTTCCCTCTCGCAGTTTCCTCAGTCTCTTTGACAATACATTATTATTTCTAAGTGATTATCAAAAATAAGCCTTATATCTTTTAGACACTGGAATGTCTGAAGGCTCAGGAAATCTTTCACATTAATACAAATATTGGCAGCTAACAAGTGACTATACAAATTGAAAATGAATAGAAGTTTTAAAAAAGATATCCGTATTCTGGTCTTATATATCCTTTACCTTGTGTTTCAGAAAAGGAAAAAAAACACGGCTTACATAGTTTCACTTAATCAACTGAGAAGGTCAACTCAACAATCTATTAGAACTTATTCTGATTACCACATAATGCTGGGTACCAAAGTCAAAATGATAAATAAGAAAAGATCTCTGATCTCTACAAGCTCCTAAGAAAAATACCAAACCAGAAGTATATAGCAGAAGCTGTGGGTGCATAGTTGAGAGAATAACAGTATTTGAGGAAGTCAGGAAAAGTGTGACTTAGACTAGATGACATTTGATATGGCCACACCACCACAGTGGCTGAAGCAGAGATAATGAAGTACATGGCAAATCACTGGTAACTGGATACAGTTTGAAGTGTTTTCCCAATGGAAGTGGCAGGGGATGGTTACGAAATCACTCCTATTTGTATAAGCCTGTAAACATTTTAAAAAGCATATCAGGCCCAGCCAGCGTGGCTCAGCGGTTGAGCATCCATCTATGATCCAGGAGACTGCGGCTCAATTCCTGGTCAGGGCACATGCCCGGGTTGCAGGCTCGATCCCCAGTGGGGGGTGTGCAGGAGGCAGCTGATCAATGACTCTCTCAACATTGTTTCTTTCTCTCCCCCTCTCCACCCTACCTCTCTCTGAAATCAATGAAGATATATTTAAAAAAAAAAAAAAAAGCATAATAGGTTTTCTGAGCACAGCCCATACAATGAAAATCACTTTTCTCTGAGCACAATGAGAAAATAAATAGCTTTCTTATATCAGTGCTGTGCCACCTTACCTATCTGACTAGGTAGGAGAATGTGCCTCCCCAGTTACCTAATCTACTAGACTGTGAGGGGGCCCTTTCCACTCTGTCAGCTGAGTTTACAACAGCCTTCCTTATGCTTCTGATGGAAGCAAGCTTCTCGAGATCTTCTCCACACTGGGAAAAGGATAGTGACCTAGTTTGGATATATACCAGAAATTTAGCTACAATTTACTGAGCATGAAATAACTGGCTCTTACAGAGCAGCTAAACCAAAAATGGTGACAAGGAAGACATCAAGGAAAATGCTTTGATGTCAGGTTAAGTGAACCGAAATGTATGGAGCCCGCATGTCTTATAATGCTCAATAAAGAGAATACTAGTTGCTTCATCCATCATACAGGGCCTATGAGAGAATTCAATGACATAGGTGAAAGCCTTCTGTAAACTGCAAGCCACTACACAAAATAACTTATTACCCCCCAACAAAGTCTTCTCAAATTATCAAAGTAATACAAATTATGATAATGGAAATAGTGTCCTTAAAAACCACACAAAAGGAACTGAATAATCTTTTTCAATCTTTTCCACCAAATACAGAGCAGCCCCCTAGAATGAGGTGAGGTAAGTGCCTAGGGCTCAGAATTTAAGGAAGCACTCACTCTCGGGGTCATCCAAGTTCAGGGTTGGAAGCTGCAAGTGAGTACCTCCTCACATTATGAACCCTGGGCACCTACCTTGCCTCACCCTAGTCCCTGCCCAGGTACTGAAAAGGATGGATCCACAGGGATTGGGAGTTTAGCCCAAAGCAATAACAATGTATTTTGTTTTCATTTTGTAAAACACTATTATGTCCTGATAAAGTTATTTTGTTTGCGTTCTCTTTTCATTTTTAACATATCATATTTTTATCATATCATATCATAAAACTTTGAATAAATTTTGATGTTCCAGAAAGAAGCAAGGTCATATTTATCTTGAAGGCTTCGGTGCCCATTCACATCCTACAACGTTTACATACAGCTGATACTTGAACAACATGGGGGTTAGTAGGGCCTTCCCCCAGGCAGTCAATATTCCACATGTAACTTTTGAATGCCCCAAAACTTAAGTTGTTCCTCAGCATCCATAAGGGTTGGTTCCAGGACCCTCCACAAGTACCAAAAACCCATGTATGCTCAAGTCCTCGCTATAAAATGATGTTCAACAATGCATACAATCAGCCCTCTGTCTCTGCAGACTCCCAAGCAGAGATGGAAAACAGTACAGTACTTATTGAAAAAAATTTCCCTGTAAGTGGAACCAAAATATTCAAGGGTCAATAGTACTATGTATGTAGGTATGTATAGAAATAGTGTACATTACATATATAACTGTACATTATTTAAATTTCTTAAATATATGTGCTTGCATATTATGCTAACATAGTAGTATTCACTTACTACTATGCTTTTAATTTCCAGAGCACATATATCCCAATTTCAATATACAGTCCGAGAAGTGAAAATGCAAATCCATACGATGAGAACTATGACCAAATCTGTAATAGGAAACTCTAAATAATATATTTTCAATAAAATTAATTTTTTATATGTTGAAAGTTGATCTCTTCAACCATTCTGTATGTTTTGTGGTTTGTTTTTTTGTATCGTGGGATATTTTAAAACCTAAACTCCAATAAGACATCAAATTGGTGAACAGAATAAGTTTGAAATAAAATTTTAATAAAAATTGGTAAAAAGGTTTTCAAAGAAATACAAATTGTTGTTGCTAATGTTACTTGAAAACCACATACTGTCGTATTTCATAAACTAATTTAATATCCTCTAAAGTTATGTTGTCATTAAAATTAGAATCTGTTTTACTTTTTGCCCCTTAAAAACATTGTTTCTGTCCCCTAAATTAATTAATGGATTGAAGAAAGTATATTCTATTAGTTAACAAACTAAAATTTTAGCCATTTGACATATTCAGCCTTCCAGTACAGTGAACTGTAAACGTACACAATTTAAAATGTCAAATGAGTCTGTGAATTAATAAGAGCCTTAAAATAACTAAATATTCTTAAACCACAACATATTAATCCTTCCCTATAACAGACACAATGAACAGGATACTGGAGCACTTATCAAGTCAGACTGCAGGACAGCGGACTCTTTAAAGAATATAACCATTTCCTGAGCCCCAATGTTATTAAAATTCCAGTTATTAATCCTGTCTTATTTCCCCTTTGTTTTCATAATATCCTCATCAAGGATTAGAGAGATACTGTCAGGCCAAAAAGCTTACATTTTCTGATTCAGAACAGCTGCCATTCTTGTTTAGATAACCCTTTATTCATAGTGTTCCTTGCCCCACATCCCCCACAGCAAAATCATAAAAGTCCTGACCATTTCATGAATCCCCTTAGGGAAGTTAATGCTACAATCAATCTCTGCTAGTTATTTATTTACTTTCACCAACACAGTGCTTCATCAGGCCCCTGATAGATCTATTCCTCTGGCCACCTTCACAATTTCTCATCATGGTGGAAATTCAAAGGTTTTTGTCACTAAGATGAATGCTGCAAATATCTAATCCTTATTTTCTCTGTTCTTGCTTTCACTTCAGAAAGAGTTAAAATCTGCAGCAGCAAATGTAAAGGGATCTGCAGAGTTCAAATGGGAGTTTACTTTACACTGGAGCTTCCACTCTAAGTTGAACCAAAAAACAAATTCACAGATATGCTATTATCATGCAGGTTTGAGTGGAGCTCTATTTTTAAATCCTGTGTTTCAATAAAAGAATTAAAGAAAGAGAGAGAAAAGAAGAAAGAGGGAAAAGCAAAGGGAAGTGAAAAAAGGGAAAGGAGAAAGCAAAAAGGGAAAGGAGATAGGGTGCAAATAACAAGTGAGATTGTTCTACGAGAACACCTGCAGAGCTGACCCATGATCGGGCTGTTTTCATGAGCTCACAGAGGAATGGGGAAGGACTTTGTGGGGTGGTTCATTTTGTTAAGTTCATCACTAAAATGTTAACATAAATAAATGCCAGTCCCCTGGACTCCTCCTACCCAATATTTAATGTTGATACAAGTCTGGGGAAGAGCAGGAAACAGTACTGGCTAAGTGGTGAAGGAACAATACTATTTGTTATTTAAATATAATTTAATGATGTATTCATAAAAGACCCCAGAGAAAGGGAAGTGAGAAAATTCTGGTATAATGCTTTACATGGTTTGTGTTATCACTACAACCTTACAAGGTTATCACAAGGCAGCACTTTCCTATCATTTGTTGATTTATATAATTGCTAGGCATGCAAATAAAAGAATACATCCACATTCATGGGCCACATATTTGCTCAATAATATCAATAGCTTACTTCAAATATGAAAGATACAGGAGGAAGAAATAGCATCAGACTGCCCCCAAAGTCACAATGCTACAAGCAAGTACTGGGGGACTGGATGAAAGAAGGTGATGGGATTAGCCAAAAAAGATACATACATAACACATAGACACAGACAACAGTGTGGTGACAGCCGAGGGAAGTGGGATTGGGGAGGGGTGGAGGTGGGCAAAGGCGGAAGAATAGGGATGGAAAGAGACTTGGGGCAATGGGTGCATGATGCAGTGTGCAAATGATGTTTTACTGAACTGTACACTTGACATCTGTATAGTGCTGTGAACCAGTCTCACCCCAATAAACTCAATTAGAAAGAAAAATAAAAGTCCATGAAAAATAAAAATAAACAAATAGTACAGTTACAGCACTCTTTAAAAAAGCCTTCCTATTCCCAGAACATATCAACTATTTTTTGGCCAAAGTCATCTAATTGTAACAAGCTTTGAGTCACCTTAGGGACTTGCTTAGAAATTATTTACTTTACAGAAAAACAATTCATCAAATTGACACTGATCTAACCATGAAAACAGAGCACTGCTATAAAAAAATTGATTAATTGTGCTCAGAAATCGACCATTTAAACATAAGGTAAACTATGACTGTAATTCACTAATGTCTTTTAACCCTGGAGTGTGAACTCACCAGTCTGCTGAATCACTGATTGCAGCCTTAGCCCAGGTTTCAGGGTCTGTCGTCACAAATCCCACATCATCATGAGAGCTGGAAGATGACTGGTCGGAGAGATGTGGAGGAAGCATTGGCAACCTGTCATCTTCTATAATGACAGTGTCATCTTGGGGCATATTCACTGTGGGGGACAGCTGGTATTTTCCTGTCGAGTAAAAAAAAAAAAAGAAAAAAAAAAAAGAGAAATTCTAGACTCATGCTAAGAGTTTATGTGTATTAATATTAATACTTTGCTACATCAGAAAAAAATCTAAATTTCCAAATATCTGCTCAACCTGGTAGAACAAAAGAGAATTAAGGGAACTTACTTTTCATAAATGAATGTCAAATGGAGGCCTCAAGTCTATTTCTTCCTCTACCACCAGAGCTATGTAGCTCTGGGCAGAGTATTCAATTTCTCTGGTTTAAAGTTTCCTAAAGCAAGAGATAATCTCCAGAATGTCTTCTAATGTGAAAATGCTACATAATTTCTAAGTTATGAAAGTCCTTTGAAATTTTTTACCAGGAAACTTAGAGGGAAGCCCTGCAGACTTACATCAACCATTCATCCATTCACTCATGTAGCAGGTGTGTAAGAAAGACTTAATCTCTGCCCCTAAATCACTCATACCCTAGAGAAGAAGATAGACATTTAAAAGGTGATAACTGATTGGTGCTATGAGTGACGTGCCAAAAGTACTGTGGCATTTACTAGTGCCGGTACTGCCTGGGTAGCTAGTGACAGACGATGCTTGGAATCTTAATAAAAGTTAACGTCAGAGTTGGGTTTTGAATGATGAATAAGGTCCTTTCTGTTAGAAGAAATTATGATACTGATTTTAGACATTGGCAGAATCATCCAATGCATGAAGGAGAAAAGCCCATGGTGCATTCAGACAACACTTCAAAGATGAGCACATGCAGAATCAAGGCCTTGGGGTGACATGGCACAATTGATTGTGAAGAGCAAAGATTAGGATCTAACTGCCCAGAGATTTTTCAGCCCGATACAGGGGAGCCTGTAAATTTTGATTTTTTTCAATTAGGATATAGTATTCTTGGTAAGGAAAGACCCAAAACTGTCTATGGTGATCAGTTTCAGGAAAATCTGCTCAAGTTCACAAATCAGCATGACAAACATTTACATTTCTTAGGACAAAATTTAGATTCAAGGCCCTGAACCATTAAAGATAAAGCTGGGGTTCAAATGATGCCATCTTCCTCCCCAAAATGCCTATTGTTCTTCTGGCTAACTCCCAAAACCTTTGTGACACAATTATGAGAAAGAACTGTGTACCAAGCTTTGATCCACATAATACTTTGTGGGAGGCCATGCACACAGAAACTTGCAGCATGGGTGATGTGGGCCCACTGGCCTGGCTTTCCCAACAAAGCAAGGAAAAGTAGCAATTTCCCTATCATTTTAAAGGAGGGCAGAAAAACTCATTTTAACTCCAATGTTCAAATCTGTTAAATCAGCTATATTGGTTCTTACCCTAGTAAAAAGGATCGCTGCACTGTCCCAACAAGGCAATCATTTTACAGAGGGTGCACTTTTCCTGTATTATAAAGCATTGCTTAAAATAGTATAAGAGCAATGTGTAGAAAGTCTATTAACATTTTAGCATCTGTCTTAAGATTTAATTTTTAAAGTAAATGATAATTTTTGTTTTAACACTAGGAGGAAATTTTTAGGATGAGAAATATATGATCCTGAAGGATTTCTAAAATATAAATTATACTAGACATTTCAACAAAGGAGCAAAAATTAAATCATATATATAATTTCAGGACAACCCACAGAAGTAACCTTGCTAGAAATTTCAAATGCATTCATTATTTAGCATCAACTCTATTACAGAAACACTACATGTTCACTAGAACTTATACTCAGCATTTTACCAAGAAAAAACACTCTACTTCAATTTGAAATGCATTCATTTTGACAAACTATGAAAACCAGCAACTACTTATGAATACTCATGACAAAAATGTAAATCAAATTTAGTACCTAATTGTTTGCCCTTTCTGAATTCAAGTCACTCACTTATTCCTACTAGAGTTTTAGGATATTCGTACAGAAAGACAGAAATCTGTTCAATAAAATATCATTCATAAATAAGGTCAGACAGTCTAGCACTATTACCCCAAGAAATATTTCCTTCTCAAGACATATTTTTCCTCCAAAAGTGTACAGAATGACAGAACCAGAATTTTCCCTAACAGCTCACTACTGATAAGGTGTGTGTCAAAGCATTAAATGACAAGACCCCACACAGGCAAAATTTATTGAAAGGCAATAATATGGTGTAATTACAGTACACTCATTTTTAACACAACTAAAACTCTTGGGTTTACACAATATATTCTGAGAGACAGCCTAATAAGCAAACTGGAACACTGAACACTGAATGGTTCTTCATATGACAATCCTTTTATATAAGATGTTTTGAGTAGAAATATTGTACCTTAGTGATTCAAAAAATTATACATAAATAAATGGCAGGAAATTTCCCAAATAGTAAGACACGAATTTGGCTATTTTCTCGTATCCATGATTCTGGAGGCTATTATCTTTAAAAATTTGAAAATTCATTATTTTCCATCAGTATTCCACATGCTTGCGAGTAATACAGTTTTAGAATCTGACTCCAGGAATATACTGGGGGTAATGGAATACTACCAAACTCCACCTAGTCAATGTATTTTCATTACATTTGCTATACTTTGCATATCATAAATGTGAAACCTTTCAACGATGACTTGAGAGGCCTTTGACCTATTTTTTGATGGATAAATATTCCTTTGTCCTCAACTAGTTAACCAACAAGTACAAACTAAAATTTAAACCAGTCAATATCTAGTCAAGGAGTGAAACAATAAGATGCAGGATGATTGTTTACTAAACGTTTATTCATATGGCATATTTACATAGAAGGCAATGCCATGCATGATACTAAAAACAGATGAGGAAAATTTTTCCAGTGATTTGACTCACAATAAAAACATTAATGTTCTATTTTTCTACACTGAATTTCTCACAAGATGAAATAATATTAACATAATTATTTTTTAAACTCGCCACAAATGTGTGAAGATAAAAGCTACTAATATTAAATTCTAAAATGGATACAATAGGTTTCAGTTTTGCTTTAAACAGAAAAATTCTTCAGATTAAAACACTGGAAAAAATTTAAGATTCAATGCTCCCAAATGTCAACTTGTGATTTTACGAAAGGAACATGTTGGTTAAATTAGATATGCCTGGTATTGTTAATGTTATTATTATTAGCTAAGATGGCCTAGAAATTTGTAATATTTTTAAGGCTATTAAAAGAAAGAAATCCTATGCAGGATAACGGCACATTACTTTCTTTTTTTTTTAATATATTTTTATTGATTTCAGAGAGAGGAAGGAAGAAGGAGAGAGAGAAGCATCAATGATGAGAGAGAGTCACTGATCGGCTGCCTCCTGCACATCCCCTACTGATAATCGAGCCCACAACCTGGACATGTACCCTGACCGGCAATCGAACTGTGATCTCCTCGATCAACCACTGAACCACGCCAGCTGGGCTGCAGATTTCTTTTTGATGAAAGTCCACGATGACCCTTTGAAAATGTAGGACAGGGGAAAGTCAACCAATACGGATGACTGGAGACAACTTGTCTTTGGTCACAAATCTGGCTGACCCCATCAAAAGCTAAGGAAATGGAATAGGGTTGAGTAACGTGGGACTAATGACTTACAAAAATATAGATCACAGTTTTGGTTCAGAAGCACAGAAACTTTGTGACTTCAGACTTGTTACTTAATTTTTTTGGTCCATAATTCCTCTGAACAGATGGTAAGGGGGCTGGACTACATGATTTCTAAGGTTGTTTTCGAAGATTAACTTCATTGATTTTTCTATCACAGTGGTTGCCAGAATGAAATAGATTTTAGAGAATAATGCTTTTTGCTTAAAGATGTGAATACTTATGAATTAATGTGAATAACGAATGAATGTCACAAATTGTGTAATTTCAGTATTCCCCTGGAAATAACTAAAAACAAAATAAAAATTACCATGGGATCTTGGGACTTCATTCTTTTATTTAAGTGGGAAAGTGTGGTTGATGACATCTGACATCCTTCTATCTCTAACACCTCTACCTTTTTTGATCTATTTTGTAGTAGCTTCTTTCCTTGGATGTGTTCCCATACATATGAGTCAGAAAACCTCAAGCTTACTTTGGTCTAGAGTCAGACCTAGGTGAGAATAATATGAAAATGCACCCTGTTTGCATAAAATAAATCATTTCTTAATGTAGTCAGCTGGGATTTCAATACCAAGTTCTAACTGAATCACAGTTGATCATGAAGTAAAAACCATCACTTCCACTAGTGTCTACATAGGAATTATTCTAAAAGCATAGAAGACAACCATTTACCAAGCAAGATCGGTCTGAGAAATTTCCCTGTACCTAGATACTATGCAAATCAATAAATACTATTGCTATTGGTATAGGTTAATAGAAATTCAGTGCTCTAATATCTTGTATTTGGTACCTTGTTTTGGTGTTTTGTTTGTTGCAAGGTAACATCTGTTGTAGGATTTTAACTTTAAAGGGGAACTAAGTGACATAACAGGGTATTTGTGTTTTAGGGCCAATGGTATTGAAATAGGGGCTGACAAAGACTGAGGAATTCTCAAACTTGTAAAACTAATGATAAGTCAAATTAAGTACATGTATTCCTCAGGGTTAAACTATATGTGAACCCTACTTTCCAGTAAAACATGTAAAAAAGACTGTCTTAAGAAAATTTCCAAATCATTCAACATCAATTTGGCCTACCACCCAATGTAAAGAGTCTGTCACCCCCCAGCCCAGAGGAGCATGCACAGTACATCACAAAGCACATAGCTGGGAGGGAAGTTGTTGCCCTGGGTGAAGTATTTAGAGTTTTAAAAGTCCATTACATCTCTACCAGAGGGAAGGGAAAACAATGTGAATGACAGTGCAAACGTAAGCAGACTAATGAATCCACGGCTAACAAAATCAGGGCAACAGACTATGACAAAAATGAAGGAATCCTCAACCCATATATACAGCATTTCAAAAGGTTACTAGGTGAATTTTGTTTGTTTTTTGGTTTATTTTTAGTTTTAGTTTTTCGCCTTCCTCTGAAGCATCAGGGATTGGAGGCAGGACGCCGGTTACAGGAACTGGTGGACCAATGGTCTGATTCAGTATGGCAAGTCCTATGTTCCTATAATAGAGGGGAAATTACAGCATATCACTTTGTATGCACACAGATCCAGGCACACATGCACTCTCTCTCTCAAGGGGTCTGAACTATCATCAATAAAAAAGTATTTAACAAAGATAAAGTTTTATACCAAATCCAAGGAAGTATAGAAAATCCAACAGCAGTGAAGAGAATGATCATTAATAAGCAAAGATTAATGTGATAAATTACATGTGATGCGTGTCACCTAACAGGTGCACGGTATCTTTAGCAGGCTTCCTTTGCTTTCACTGATTCCAACCAAGGAAAAGGAAGAATGGTGACAAAATAAAACTACAGTTAGCATGTCTACACTCTATGTGTAATAAAATAAATGAGAATTTAGCAATTTTTCCAAACTAGAAAGATAGGGGAATTAGAGGAAGAACAGAAAATTCTAGCAGTCATGTTTATGTATTTTTCCTATCATGCCCAGTAGAAAGTTCTTTGAAGGCGCACAATTTCTATTCATTTTTTTATCTACAACAAATGTGTATACACGATGCCTTGCCAATAAATATCCACTGATGAATGAAGTAAATTCTTCTAATGAAGCTTCACAATGGAAACTTTAAATATACTAAATCTATACTTAATATACTCAAAATGGAGTAAAATTTAGGGTTTTATTTTATATTAGCAAAACATATCAGCAATAAAAGTGTTTTATGTTAGTTGCTATTTTAATCAAAACAGTTTGCTGTGTTTTAAATTCAAAGATTCTCCCAAGGTAATCCCAAGATGAGCAACTCAGTACATCTAGCCAGTCCTGTGGCAAGCAAGGCCTTATTAACTGGATCTGTTAGTAGAAGCTGCACTGCTACGGAGCAAGTGCAAACAACCTCATTACCCACTGGGGGCCATGCACACAGCACGGTGTTGAATCCAAAGAAATGATGCAAAAACTTGTTTTAGGGTTTTAAAATTAAGGCTTTAAAAAAGCAGAGATGCAAGTAAAAAGTGGTACCCTCCTATTAAGCACAAACAAATGCGAGTTATTTATTTATTTATTTATTTATTAAATACATCTTTATTGATTTCAGAGAGCGGAAAGGAGAGGGGGAGAGAGAGACAGAAACGTCAATGATGAGAGTGTCATTGATCGGCTGCCTCCTGCACACCCCAGACTGGGGATTGAGCCCGCAACCCGGGCATGTGCCTGACCGGGAATCGAACCCCTATCCCCTAGATCCTAGGTCGATGCTCAACCGCTGAGCCATGCCCAGCCGGGCGTGAATATTTTATATATGTATATATGTATATATGTATTTTTCCTCTCCCTCCAAATAGCGCTACTGTGAATTATATGTAACTTTTGGAGCCTCCTTGCCATAAACCACTAAATTTTGATCTTTTTTAAAACATGGCTTCATTTATTATCTCAAACAAGCTAAGGATGTCTTGATCACTGGAAAACATTTCTATGGGATTCCTTTCTTTTTTTTCTTCCCACATTACAGGATCTAAAACTCACTTAAAAATAGAATCAATGTATTGATTTACTCTCTTCACATTAATACTTCCTGAGTGATAATGAACCCACTCTCTTCCTCTTTTCATCCTTTACATTAATATTACATTAATAACCTCTGTGTGAACCAGTTAAAGCATAAAAGTAAGATGTGATAAACAGCTTTACCTGACTCACCCATTATCCTACTGAGTGCAACATTCCTTGTGGGGGATTCATCGAGCCTCTCAATCCCGCTGTAGAGGGAATGGGAAATTCTTCGTTCTCTATCATCCAATACCGTTTCAACGGGCAACTCAGGTCCCGAGAGGCTCCCAGGTGACTTGAGCTGTAGAGGAAGGCGGGCAAGGGAGAGTCAGGACTGGAGGCCGATTAGCAGCATAGGGGTTTTATAACAACTTGCCCAAGGCCTGCATCCAACCGGGTATCAAATGAACTAGAACTTTTCACCCTGTACCAAAATAATTTCTGATGACAGCTCTGCCTAATGACCAACTTTCTGTGCCACTTTACAGTGTGCCTCCCATGAAGTTCTGTCAGATTTCAACCACTAGAGGAAAAATATGGATATTAAAAGCTATTTTTAAAAAAACTTATCTTGTTGCTTATTTTTTCAGTTTGACTGTTATAATCTGTTGAAGTCAATTTAAGTTATGATTTAATTCAAAATTCTTCCTAAGGCTGCATAAGGCATGCTTTATCAGATGGAAGCTGGAACTTAACTACACTTTTACACCTACAATATGTAAGTACACGGACTAATTAAGCACACATTTCTGTGTGTGTGCTGGTAGAATTACTACTCACTCTATAAGACTTAAAGACCACTTGTCAGCTCAGGTGTCTTGAACAATACACTGAGCCTGAATTTCTTCTGCTGGACATTAGGAATAATCATCCTATTCTCTGACTGTAATCTTAAGCATCAGATAATGAATAACTTAGAAAAGTACTTCAACAGTATACAAACAATATTCTAATGAAACAGGCAAAGATGTATATTTTACAAACATATACAATCTCCTAAATAAGCAAAGAATATAGGTCAAGTTCTATCACCATGAATAAAATTATATGTGGCATTCTTTAGAACAGTAGTGTTTTATAAGTAATATTCCCCATAAAGATAATATGAATAAAAAAACTATGTTAGTAAGGCCTTGAAACAAATCTGCTTCAAGAAACAACAAAGCACACTTAATTACCCTCCTCCCAGTGGGGGTTCTGAGGTTAACCCATGGACCAATATCTTAGGACACTGTGGTGCTGCTGGCTGCAGCCAGAGGCAGAGAGTGAGTGGAGGGGTAGAACAGCCCAACACAACACAGCAAAGCTGGAGAGGAGACTGCATTTCTCAAACAGATGAAACCACAACTGTGGCACTTCCTTTGCCTGAACAAATTATGATTTCTGTAACAAGATATCATCTGTTTAATATAAATGAGATATTTAATGAAGTTCCGAATTGTAGACTTATCTCTCCCAGTCTGATAAGCACTGGGGACATTTAATGCACTGAAGGGTCAACACAATTACAACTGAGGCACATCAAACTGCAGGAGAGTAATAAACTCACAGCACCAGTGAATTAGACTCAATAAGGTTTAAATTGTGAAATGAGGATTTGTTTTATTAGTTTTTTTTAAATTGCAGATTACAACTGACAGCTTTACTGGAAAGTAAATGAAATATTCAAGGTCTCTGATGTATAAGAATAAAATAATACTTTCTGAAAGAATACTAAGGCTAAACTCCAAGGTGCTTTGGGGACATAAAAGCAAAAATACCTGACACCTTTAAGAACAAGTATATTTGAATTTTTTAAATGAGCACATACATCAAAGAGACTTGCTATACAATAGGCTCTACACACAAGACCCACTTGCTATGCAACAATTTATTTCATCATAAGACATCCTCAAGTTTGCTTAACAAATACCTTTAATTGAACTGTATAACTGCAATTTTCTAGATAATAAAAACTTTATAAAGCTCCTTCATGAAAAATCCCTAAATATCCCAAGAGGCTAGTTTAGAATTTTATAAAGTAAAATAAAAATTAATTTAAAAAATTCTCCATGAAGGCTTTCTAGAGAAAAACAATAAGATGCTTGCTCAGGCAGAACATGGCACTTGCCCATTTTCCTGGGAAAGATTGCACACCTCCCCAGCCTCCCTAACCATATCTAATTTGCATCTCAAAGTACAGATTTAAATGAAGAAATCAAGGGCCTACTACATAAATATTTAACAGATGATACAATGCCTTTTTATTTCCAAAAAAAAAAAAAGTGATTTCAAATATTTTGATGATTTGTGTGAGTGTGCTAGAAAAAGAGATTAAGAACAAGTGTTGTCAGAGTGGCACTCAGGACACAGGGGAGGCAGAGCTAGGTGGCCCTGGGAGAGCAGCCCAGGACTTTCTACAATTCAGGCTGCTCCCAGGCCCTTTTAGTCTCCTTATAACTTTATAAAAATTAACATAATTAGGAAAAAAAAGAAATGAACTGCAATTTTCACTTTGTCATTTGTTGTTTAAAATACAAAAATGTTCTTCAACCCAGTTTCACTCAGTCCCTGGCAGCAGTAGCTGTGCAGGATCCCTCAGCTCCATCCCTAAATAAATGTGACAGCCTTGACACCTGCTGAAGACAAATTAGCTCCAGGTTGCAGCAAGATAACTCATATTGCATAGCAGTGTAAAGTGATGCAGTCTTTTTCTAAAGTAATGTGGAAATGTATATCGTGGGTCAAAAAACACCATATACCCTTTGACCAAGACAGTTATTTCACTTTGTGGTCACTATCCTCACGAAATAATAAGCTAGATGAGTAATAAAAATTCAAGTGAATCAATATTATTTGCAAAGGTATAAAAACTGGGAATCATCTCAATCTCTAAAAATAATATAAATAATAAGCTCTTTAAAAAGATATTCAAATGATCATATATAACTTTTATAATCAGAAAATAACAAATGCTATTTAATAATAAAAGACTGAATATTGTCCAATAAGTATGCTTTTCATTATGTACTTGGCCTTCTCTTCTTTTCTTAGGAAAAGTTAAAATCTTGATTTCTTATATAAAACTAATATAATTTTTGTGGGATTTAGTAAAATCTCATGTTTAAAGTATGCATCAGCAGGTTGAATGATGTCTTTCACATTTGAAAAATGTATTGCACCATCTTGACTATAAACACTGAAAGCTGGCATAGATATGGCCCTCACCCCCTTCCGAAAACTTAGATGTGGGTCCTACTTAGTATTTGGCATGATCTCATTATTCGATATTTCAGTTGTCATGGAATTAATCTGTTATCCCGAATGCCTCGTGCAGAGCACATACTTGGTGAATAATGAGATGAATAAATTTATTCCTAGATCAATGACTCAGAGATACCTTAAATGGTTTAGAGATCTTATACATGCTAGGCCACAAGGAAGTAGGCCTTTAAAGCTGACTGAATTGCATAATGTTAAAATTAAAAGAAACTGACCTAGATTTCAATTATACATTGAGAAAGTACTCACATCCAAAGGACACGTGAACACAAAACAAGGAATATAGAGACAGGAGGACAGTGGTAGGAGTTTTAGGGTCCAGTTTCAGGTTCTGATTTCATGCAGGACCACACTTAATTTCCTTTCCATCCTCATGTGGACAACAGCAAGGATCAGAGAGGTGAAGGAAGTTCCCCTAGTCATTCTGACTTTATGTAGCAGACCCAGAGTGTAACTGACTCTGTCAGATAATACAGTCTGTGTTTTGCCCTAGCCAGTGTGCTCAGTGGGTTGACCACCATCCCATATACCAAGAGGTTTCTAGTTTGATTCCCGGTTGGGGCACATGCCCGGGCTGTGGACTCGATCCCCAGTAGGGGAGGTGCAAGAGGCAGCCAAATGATGTTTCTCTCTCACATAGATATTTCTCTCTCTCTCTCCCTCTTTCTCTCTCTCCAAAATCAATAGAAACATATTTTAATAAAGTCTGTGCTTTTATTGTACATTATATCCCAATACAATCAGAATATAAATTGCCCGAACAACACAATCACAGTCAATCAGACCTACTCACATGCATAAGAGGAACGAACACCTTGTCACTTCTTTGCCCTTGAAGGTATTAAGCAAATCATGTGACCTTTCCACATTTATTCTTTAATACGTAAAATAAAGAAAATCACAAATGATGTTTTACACCACTTCCCATTCTAATATAGCTTTCATATTCTAAGAAGATTAAACCTGGAAAGAGAATTCATTTTAAAATAGTGCTTGATAACTAAATCCTTCAGTATGGGGTCTAAGACAAAAGCTCAACTGGTCACATTTACTGTTGGTACTAAAACACGACTTTATATGAAATCACATCTTACAAAGATATAATGAAATGACTGAAAGCTATGTTAAATTATAATAATCTCTATAAATATTAATTTCCTTGGAACATTAAAAATCAGCATAATTCTCATATACAGGTTATTCTCATACTCGAAGAACAATGTCAGGTGTTGGCTCCCATTTCCCTCTACTCTTCTTCAAAGTACTCAAAAAATTTATCCTTTGTGGTGATACCAATGTTTTTGCCTCTTGCTTTATGTATTCATTTTAATATGCTATACTTTACATCCCCATGACTATACTGTAACAACCAATTTTTACTTCTTAATCCAATCACCTTTTCACCCATCCCCCCCAACCCTCTTCCATCTGGCAAAATGTTCTCTGCATCTATAATTCTGTTTGTTTCTAGATTCCACATGTAAGTGAAACCATACAGCATTTGGATTTCTCTGTCTGATTTATTTCACTCAGAATAATACCCTCTAGGTCCATCCATGTTGTTGCAGATGGCAAGATTTTATTCTTTTTTAAGGCTGATTGACATTACATTGTATATATGTACCACTTCTTTATCCATTCATCTATTGATGGACACTTAGGTCACGTCCATATCTTGGCTACTGTAAATAAGGCTGCAATAAGCCTATGATTTCTTCAGATAAATACCCAGAAGTAGAATTGCTGGGTCCTGATTTGTCTCATTATAGCCTTTAACATCTATTTTGTCTGATATGAGTATTGCCACCCCAGCTATTTTTTTTTCATTTCCATTTTCATGAACTATCTTTTTTATACATTTACTTTCAGTCTGAATGAGTCTTTTGATCTGAAGTAGGTCTCTTGTAGGCAGCATATGAATAGATCTTATTTTGTTATACATTCAGCCACCCTATGTCTTCTATTTATTTATTTTTATCCTCACCCGAGGATACTTTCACCATTGCTTTTCAGAGAGCAGAAGGGAGAGAGAGAGAGACA